AAAGGCCAATGTATGGGCACATGCCATATGGCGTTTTTATTCATTTCCACCCTTCCATAGCACACTGCCAGGAAAACTTCACCTGATCCCCTACTTGCCCATTTGCTTGCTAGGTCCATCTGAATAGTTTTGATCCATGATGGAATGTCTTCAGGATGTTTAGTCTTGTAACACCCACTCTCTAGAACTTACTACTGCTACAAATTAGGCAGGTGCCAGCCCTTCTGACTTTTCAGCCCCAACTGAAAACATACCTTTTCCAACATCACCAAGTACATAACCTTGCCTTCTATACACAGTAATATATGGTATTTAATTAAGACCTTAAACTGCATTACTTTAGAAATATATTTAATATAAATGATTGATCAAGACAATAATAAACAAGAAATAAATTCATCTAAAAAGAATAATCAAAGCACCCAAAGTATTCAGGTTATATATGCAGCCTTCCTTTAGGGCAGTAACTGATGCCAAATGAAGGCATGCTATTGTTGTCTTTAAGGAACATTTGAATAGAAATAGCTTATTTAGGGTTGCACCAACTGAATCCATGGCAGGCATGTCTATTTTCTGTGTACTTCCCAAGAGTCTTTCCATTACACAGACATGGTTCATAGTGAGACCTGTTCATACAGCCAACAATCCCAAAAGGCAATCTTCAAGAATGCCTGGGAGTAGTAGTGGGTTTTTGATCTCAGGACCCTTGCAGGATGAGTTGGAGTGCAGGAAGGGAGGGTGAGTGGAGATGTGACTATCACAATGAAAAGGGTTCTGAGCTTCTACAATTGCACAGCCCCACACAGAATTATCTGCTCATACAATTGGTATCACCTTACAAGCCAAACTTGCCCAGTGTTGTTAGCGGTTTAATAAATTGTGAACAGAGATTATAAGCCATATTAACATTACAAAATGCTTCCATTAGCTCATGTTGATATTGGAAAGAACCCTTACTGCCTTTTCAAATAAGCAATTAATATAGGTAGACTAAAACAGTTAGTATTAAGGAACCCCTAAGAATAACATTTCCCTTTTAACTATTTGCAGTGAGTTCCTCAGCACAGGTTCAGACTTCCTTTGATTTTACATTCTTTCAGCTTTGTATTCCATTCATTATATCTTGCATTTATCAGATACTTACAGAGCAACCCAATGGCCATCTAGGTAACACTCTGTGTCTTTGCCAACACACACCTGACAAAAGAAGCAACACAAGCAACTGTTTTGCTGTACTACAGACACTCCATTAGGCACACTTGTGAGTTACTGGAAAGGGAAGACTTCAGGATCCTCTGCCTTCCTCTTTTTCTTCCACTAGATTTGCATCTATACCTGCAGTCAGCAGACAAAGTCTACTGTTGCTGGGACATTCTCCAAAGGACCATAAGATTGCTTTCTTAAATGTTAAACACTCGATTTAAACAAGTGTTCATTTTCATAATCATTGTACTAGTTTCACTGGAAAACCAGAGGGATCAACTTTGTTCCACATACAATGATGCTATTATACAATGTAGGTTGTGTTCTAATACAAATGTTGATGAATTTAAGAGTAAAACTTTTCCCATGCCCACAACAAATTGTAGCCAGGGATGCTTTGAGCCTTGAAAGCAGCTTCTTTGAGGCATGAATATATTTTAGATCATGCATAAATTGCTGTTTCAGGAACAATTGGTTTTATCTCAGGGAAAATAATTTTGAGGATGTTTTTTGACTCTATCAAATGCTTTTAGATTTGTTCCCATTTGTTTAGGAGTAAAACAGAATACCATTTTAAGCAGTGATTGCTGCTATGTTCCATTTTAAAAAGTCATCAAGGACTTACCATCCACTGCTAAGGAAAGCATGCAGCAAGGATGTCAAGATTATTCAGTCTTTTGAGGTATAGTTTATATAGGCTGTGACTTTTTAAAAACTAAATTTATAGCTATTTTAAAAGAACTTTAGTTTTAGTGTTTCCACATAAATACTTGAAGCTAGCCCCACCAATTATAAGAAATCAGAGCTAACTTAAGCTAACAAGTCTAGTTATACTTAAATATACAACGGTTTGATGAAACAACAGGATGTTAAGTTTACTTCACTCCAGTATCAATGTTGGTTTCTGGTAGAACTTTTTAGCTTATTTCAAATTAAGTGAAGAACGGAAATTCAGTTGGAGCAGGTTTTTCCAACCTGGAGTTGTAGTGATGGGGAAACAGCTGTACAGCAATTGTTAAAAGGCAAGAAGGCCTGCCAACCATAATTTCATTCAAAATAAGGAAGAGTATTCATAAGTTAAGACACTTAAAATAGAAAGGTTCACATAGAGCAATCCACAAAGGGATCTATCAGTAATTCAGGCAGGTGCAAATGTCAAATCTTCCACTATGAATCACTCTTGCAATGTTTTCCGGCTTGCATACTTTTTGATTCCATTTAAGTCAACATGAGCTTCCAGCCCTTGCTGACAAACTATTTTTCTGTACTAACATTTTCCTCTGCAACCAGTTCCCTATCTTTTATGTGTATGAGCACACACATTCATGTCTGGAGTTCTGCATACTGTACAGAATTCAAATGGCAAGGTAGCCCAGTGTGACATGTAGTGCGCAGCAGGAAGCCCACTGCAATCAGGCGAAGGCAGTCATGCACACACTCCTTCTCACATACACAGCCGCCATCTTCACTGGAAGGTGCAAAAGCCCTTGTGGGAAGGGGCAACCTATATAGCAAAGGATTCAATGGATAAGAAAAAAACATTCACAAAAGGTTCATCAAAAACAGAATTCTCTTGTCAAATTAGTTTAAGTAGGTTTATTTTATTATTTTTAACATAAGGACAGTTACTCTTGTGAAAGTTGTCACAGGCCAAGTTCAGAATAAGGGCATGGATTCCTAAAGTGCACTTGTGCGAGCATACTTGCATTCCATTTGTGCAAAAACTCATTTTTGATCATGCATGTTCAACTTTCTTATTTGTACCATTCTCTTAGAAGTGCAATAGTATCAACTGTTATGACCCACTGTGAGTCAAATTATTGTTCCTGATCTGCCAGTTGAGCAAATGATTTGACCTATGTTCAAAGCAGACTCAGTGCATTTACTTCAACATACTCACCTTAGAAATATTTGGCCATAGCACGATTTTCCACAACCTGGTACCCTCTGGATGTTTTGGACTACAACTGCAATACAGCTCACCCTTGGCTGTGGTAGCTAGCACTAATGAGAGTTAAAACCCAAATGGTGGTGCTTCTGTAAAATCATGAACATAAACAGTGAGGATGACAATTTAGGCCTTAACCAAGTCATGACTCCTTTCACCAGCGGGCTTGTGAGTCCATGACTACTCCAGTCAAAGTTACAAGCTAGAGATGAAGTGGAAAAGAAAAAGGAAAAGTGCAGAATGCAAGGCAGAGTGGAATCCCAAACTACAAGAACACTAACCTGGATTAAATGACAGAGGGTAAGTAGTCACACCAGGGCTTGCTTTTGTTAGCTTCTTATGGGCACCTGGATAAAAGAACTGCTCCAGGTGGACCTTTCATATGACCCCACCAGCCATTTCTTCTGTTTCTCTGCACAGAGTCTGCATGTATGTAAACATGTGCAAAACCAAAACTGGTATCCTAGTGTTACAGCATAATAGACTCTGTGCTCAAAGACACAGCAAGGTGAGACTGACACTGAGAAATGATGCCTAATTGCCGATATTTTCCCCCGATTGAATTCAGCATTGCAAATGTAGATAATTCTGTTTCCTTATTTACACTCGGTACCACAGCTAAAATTGTTTTGAATTTGTCTTTTTCATGCTACAGTGAGAAATATGTCTCCATCATTCATGTTAAGTGTCCAACTTCCATTTCTGAAGCAAGTACAAACAAAAGGGATTCTAGCTGTTCAGTTTAACATTATGAACAAGTATATCAAACATAAAAGATTAGCAAATGCCAAATGTCTTCTGGTACTTTAACGAGGGTTAACAAAAACACAGTTCAACAGATACTGTGATAGGAAACATGCAGCACAAGGCACAGCAAATATTGTGTGATACAGTGACCTGTGTTGTTAATCTTTAACCAGCTCCTTATATTGGAGAGACTCCAATAGATCAGAACAAGAGACACTGCTGGCAGAATGGATTTCCCTTATCCACCTGTTCCCCCAAAACTACTATGGATGGTTGGGTGACTCCTAGAATAGGTTTGAGGGACAAACATGAGACCAGGGGAGAGGAGCGAAAGGGACAGTCCTGCAATATAAATGAAAGTCTGTTTAGGTAACATCAAATTAGAAAATGGACAGCCATCTGAGTGGGATGGTATAACGTGGTGTCCTGCAACAGCAGGGGGTTGGACTCGATGGCCTTCATGACCCCTTCTAACTCTACTATTCTATGATTCTATGAAATGTAACCCTCCATATTTGTATAGTGATCTGGCAGTAGCAGCTTTGCTACCAGATGCATCATAACAAAGAGCAGGCAACCCCAGAGAAATTTATACCTTCCTCATCTAATACCTGATAGGAAACTTTATAGCAGGAGTGCATTTTGTTGTGACTACAAAACCCATCACATTAGTTATGCTAGATGGGGCTGATGAGCATTACAATTTAAACTCTGGGAAACAACAGGCTTTTATAACTCTGGTTTATAACATGGTTGGGGAATTTGAGGCTTGCAGCCAGAAAGAGCTTAACAGTTTCTCATTTGGTCCCCAGAAAGCTGATGGAGAAGTAACAGATAATTCTTTCCCTATGTTTCTATGTTGGGTACAGAAAAAAGAGATTATTCTCTTGGTGCCCTGCATGGAATTAAAATTTAGAGTACTAAGGAATCATTATGCAGGGTGACCTTTATAATCTTAAATCTTCACTCAAAGTTTGTTTGTCCTTCAGTGCTACCAAGCAACATCAACCATTGCTGTGAAGGAACAAAATTTGTCTAATATTGGGACATTAAAACTCAAATGGATTTTGTGAATAAATAGTGGCACCAATACTTAAACATCCAAAGGTTCATATGATCATTTATTATTTTTAAAAAGATTGTTAAGACTGAAACAATGTATTTATAATATTACTCTTACAATATGAAAATTATTTAGGACTTCCTCACATATTACATTATGGAGTAATGTTTCAATAACTGGACACCACTGCATATTATACCCCTCTGTATATTTCATACATGAATGTGCAGGAGAAAGGTACAAGTAAGTAAGCCTTCACACAATTTTGGACTTACTACTTGTTAATTATAACCACTATAAGGTTAGTTTCAAGTAAGTGAGTACTCAAAGAGAGAAATGCTCTTTAAGTCTGGAAATTGCACACTCCTGAATATTCATGCATTAAAAGACCTAGTGACACAACAGTGCAATAAATGTCCTTATTGTAACATGTATACAAGTCCTTCGGCATGAATGCTTGCTGAGTCCATGCATTTTATTTACAAAAACTCTATGCAGACAACTTTCTGTACTGTAATATACAGCATTTCTTTTGTCCTGTTGGATTTGGTTATTTTTCAGTGGAAAAATCATCCATGTTTTTCCAACAGGATAACTTTTCTGACCCCCTTATATGGCTCAATTGAAAGTTCACTTTCTAAGAAGTCACCATTAATATTATCCAAGTACCTTAATAGCTGGAAGATCAGCCAATCAATGACTGAATAAACAGTATTTTCAGGGCAGCATGGAACTCATGAAAATGGTACTTGGACATATTTCAAAGTAGCCCACCAACAATTCAGCAGTCACTGACAATTTTAAGTAACAAAGCTATAAACTTGCTCGTGATTTCCAATGTTACCCAACAATATTGCCTGAGAACACAGAAGAAGCATTCAAGGAAAAACTGATAGGTCTTTTTTCTTCATCATGTCCTCCCAGTTGTCCTCCCATTTATTTCTGCCTTCTTGTGGCACATGGACTTCCTAGCTTTGAATGCCTGCCTTGTCAGGTCATGCCACTGTCAGGTATTGATGATAGAACAGCCCAAAAAGGCTCGTAGAAAACAGACAAGCAGCAATCCACCAGGTGAGAAAGGAAAGGAGTCCTCTAAATAAGAGTGGAGTGAAAATGTTCTTCAGGCTTGCCAGTGCCATTGTTAGCTGTATTGCAGTAACCATCTTTCCATCATTGGATGAAGAGTCAGAATTTACAGAATTGCTCAATGAGCTACTGTCTGCTACTAAATCAGAAGCTGACTCTGGGTAAATGCCCCAGGAATAGTTCCCTACAGAAATAAAATAAGAAGTTATGGTTTATAGACAATCACTTTGATAATTTGAAATGGCATGTTTATAAGCAAAGACATTACTAGTGATCCATATTGCAAATAACAGTCCCAAAATGCCCCCAACCCACAAAAATAGATCTCATTTTCCAGCAACTGTTAGGTACGCAAGTCTCTTTTGAAAAGACGTTTACATATTAGGGGCCAATTGGTGTCATTTAGCAAAACTTCTTTGAGGATGAATGTCCTGTTACTTAACTTACATGCCATGTCATGTCTTAACAGGTACATCATGCATGCTCTTCGAATGGTTTTATGTGGAACTACTAAAGCATTCAATTCTTTAGCTGTTTTTGAGCAGGTCCTGGCCAAAATTACCTGCTGGGTTATGAATACACACCTTCCCAGTCATTTTAAGATTCGGAACCCAAAGGGACACACAGGCATGTAGGATTGTTGTCAGGGAGCCATAGCTTAGCATCTTGATTTGTCTTTTCTTCCCACTACACTGAACAAAAGACAAATAAGGTTTTCACGGAGCAGTTCCTTCTGTTTGCTGGATACTTCTTACCTAAAGTTTTCAGCAGCAGAGTCATATGAAGCAGCATAACCAGAGGTGCCACATACTGCAGGGCAATTATACAAAGGTAATAAAACACTCTGGCCACCTGAAGTTAACAAAAATATTGGATAATTTAGTACATAAGACAATATAGTATGACTATCATAGTCAGCAATTAAACACAGTTGCCAGCCTAATAAACCAAATGATTTTACTTAACACATTTGCAATCATAGCTATGCAAGTGGGATCACGGAAGCCCTCTTACTCACTCCTCCCATGTTTGCTTGAGGGCTGGAGGGCCCTGCTGAATGGGCTTAGGAACATCTGACAGAGGCACTCTCTATGAGTAGAACAAAAGGTGTGTCCACCTGCTTTTCCACAATCTTTTCCTTTACCCTCACTCCCTATCCCACTGTGTACTCCTCTCAGCTGGGTCCTTGGCCCTCAGGAAAGTCAGCTTCTGCCTCACTTTCTTTGAGGTCCAACCCACATCTGAATTGAATTGTGATTCCTTTCTAAAAGCCTTTTGCTTATCTTGTTCCCCTATTTGTCTCACATAGTTCTAAAAGGTGAATACATGGTTTGCCTCATGAATATGTTTCATGTACTTATCTGATAAAGAAGCAATTAACCCTGAAAGCAAATAGCAAAGTGTTCTGAGCACTTTGTGCTACCATCCCGTTAAACTATTTCTCAAAGCCAGAAGACACAAAATAGTTGATTGCCAACTTCTGTTTTTAACCCATTCAGGCACACCAGCCTTTTACACTGACAACCATCATTTCCCCCTTTGCTTCCTCCACCCCAAACCAACAGACAGACAACAACTGTGAAGGCAAAAAAATACCAGTGAATGTGACTGCTCTCATAATAGGCTACAAGTGTACTTACTCAGGCAAGTGATACAGAGTGCTGAAGCTTTCTTCAGCTGCAAAAATCAACCCAATTCTACCAATTCAGATTGAGAGCTGTAAGCTGTCCCTCACTCTGAACTGGCTTTGTGGCACTGTGATGTCATCACACATCACTTGATCCCAGATTGGTTGGAATAGCTCACTGAAGGATTAAGCTAGAGGAGGCTGGAATGACAGTGAAACAGCAGAGAAGAAATAACTGCTGTGAACAACAGCAAAAATAGATATAAATAAGGTTTCTTCTCACACTCTGAAAATGTTTGCCTTTTAGCATTCATTGGTATCCTATAAAATGGGGAAGGGGTTCTGTTTAGATTGCAATTGCATGGTTTACACTGGTAGTTCTCCATTTTGGAAAACTTCATTTGCTATGCTTGGAAAAACAAGTGAGGGTCTATTTTTAGGGAAACATCATTTAGCTAGTCAGTTTGAAATGTTACATAGTTTGCACATGCACAATCTTACTTAAAGAACAGAGTAAGTCAGAAGTATAGTCATTCACAAAAGATCTATAGTAGTATCTTCTCAGGTCTAGTGAAAAAAGAGTCGGCAATGCTGCCTGAAAATTTTAGGCATAAAGGTACCTAAAGTTATAGTGTCAAGTTTCTGGATAACACTAAGTTCTACCTCAGACAAGAAGTATCACCATTATGCTCATGAATCACAAGAGCAGCAGCTTGTTCATTTATGCACATATCAAGGCTTACCATTTTCTGCAATTCAACAGTACTTATTCTGCCAACTTCCTTTTTCATCTGATCCACACATTTCTGTGCTAAATTCAAGTAGGCTTGGAGATGACTGCGCATCATGGCTAACCTCAAAGCACACAGGAGAATTATAATCCACAACCTTATAGTATCAAATGTAGCTTCTGACATTCTGCAGATTTAAAAAGGAACACAATGATTTTCCATGTTGTTTTAAACTGTACTAACCAGATATTCTTAGTTTTGCAAAGGACTGCCAGAGTGCTAAAATATATATAATACCCTTTCAGAATTCTACTACAGATCAGCACAAGTCCTATAAGAATACTATCAGTGCATCATCCAAACACAAAGGGCATTTACAGTGAACGCTGGTAACTGGCGGCATGTGAGTATAGTAAGTTCCCACCTACTTTAGTTAACATCCCTATCACCCTGGGCCTCCAAGATATTGGGTGTGATATATGCCCAAGTAAATAAATGGGCCATGAGCCATTTATCTTTCTATTCTTCCACCAAACTGAAGGACAAAATATGATCAGTATATGTTAACAGGCAGCAGGATGCAACAGAAGAGGATTAATACTGACTGTTTTTAAATTATGCAGCACACTGGACTGGATATTTGGTCTTTTTACTGCTTCAAGCTTTGTATTACAGTCTCATTCTCTCTTACATTTCAGTTCTATTAAACGTCAAGCAATTACAAGGAATCTTTCAAACTGTTCCCGATAATGCTCATGCTATCCTTTAACCATTACAGCAGTGAATACACTCCATTCATTCTTATAAAAAGCAAGTTAGGCAAGTTAGATGATGATGATGCTATTTATGCTTGCCTCACAAGGAAGTTCAAAAATGTTAATACTGCCCCCACTAAAATTTGTGTATGAAGTGACAACACATACTTGGCTTAAAGGATCCAGGAATGCATAGGCCACATTATATGAACTCATTCCAAGCAAATGATGATAGATGTATTTTAATAAGTAGACACAAGCACAAACATAATGGTCATGGCTATATTGCACTACGATATCCAAAGGTCTCTTCAGAAGAAGAGTCTACATGTTAAACAGATCTGAGGAACTTGCATTAGTTTCCCGGGACCATTTGGATCAGGGACAGCCAGATTATACCTGACAGACCTCTGAGTGATTTGCAGTAGACTTGCAACAGCAGCCAGAAAATTACCTTTCCCACCTAAATTAGGCCACCCAAATGAAGACAGCCAGGAGGGAGTTCTGTGTGAAAGGCATATGAGCTCAGTCCAGTTCTAGTACTAAAAACATGTTCCTAGGCTCAGAGACACCTTGCCATTTAATTTTGTGTTTTATACCTGATACCTGTTGGTGAAAATTGGGGTTCTATTAAAAATCATTCTAATAGATCCAACAAGCCAGAGATCCACCCACCCAAATTTAGTCTCCTCCTGCTTCCTTTGCCTTTGGGTGGCCTTGCAGTTTATACTTCTGAAGTTTGAGATTAAGATGATCCAGCTGTAGGGTCTACTCTTAACATTGGTATCTTTGCCTTTCTAGCTTCCAATAGTGCCAGACAAGCAAATAATGGCTGAATAGTCTTATCACTCTCATTGTGACTGTTATCCCAAGTCCTACTTCCCAACTGAGTCAATGATCACCTGCTACAATGGATGCAACATTCTTTGGTCCTAAAATACATGTGGGTGACCTGCAGTCTGCCCACAGCCCACAGCCTGTCATGTACCTTTGGGCAGCTCGATCAAACTGGAATATAATGAGATCTAACAAAATACAGAGGTGACAGTGACATACTGTCCTTAGGAATACTACCATAGGTGATAAAGGTTTGCACTTTGCATTTCTCTATCTTTCTCTGAAGTATCTGCAAGAAATGGGGTGGCACTGAGAGGAGAACACAGAAAGTGCTAGATGAAGAGCGCTTTCCAAGGAGATAAAGAGTACTTTCAGGGATATACAGATGTCTTGAAAATACAGATTAGGCAGAATCTGTTTTCAAAAGGTTCTTTTCTTTTCTGATCTGAAGTCACTATCTATATGGCTCCTGATGTCAGGGTCATTTCTCACTCATTGCAAACGAAAGGCAGGCTGACTGGCTGACAGATTTTGTGAGGGAAAGAACCACAGTTATGTGTGTTCCTGTGTTGTATGAATGGTGTGTATGTGCATGTGTATCCAAGAGAGAAAGTTAATGGGTGAGAAAAAAACGAACTGGGGGAAATGAACAGAGAATGAATGAATGGGTGGATGATCGCAACAGAGGGAGGGAAAATTTGACTTAGAATTGATGGATACATGGGGGGCAGTTTGTTCCACCCACTTTGGCATTGATACCATCCACTGGTATCAGTACTCTGAAAATTTTGGCCACTCTTGTCCTAAAACTTGAAGATAAAGGCTAGGGCAATGGTAAGTTATCCTTTTTCCAACAACACAGGTACAATAATATTACGTTATAAACTCACACAGTAAGATTTTCAACATTTTCAAAAGCAACTTACAAAGGCACATTGTCTTTTCCCAATGGTGGATTCATTATATAGTCCTTGGTAATGGGCTTTACCCACAATAAGACCATAAGCAAGGGTGCCAGGAAATTTATATGCAGCAGGGTTCTGAAAGTTGAAAAGGAAAACAAGATCAATACATTATAATTCTTACAGAAAGTGTGTTTTCTGCAGCAGTGTGTTGAAAGCAAGGAAAATATACTAGTTTAATGTCTTTCTGCAGCATCAAGAAATACATGAACTTCCAACTGGTTCCAGAAAACCCTGGAATTCCTTGGAAGCTTAGGAGAGAGAAGATCAGTGATGGTAAACTTAGCTCCCCACAAATCCTATTTGCTTGCTGCTACCAATCTTCTGCAACATGCAGCTCCAAGGGGCTATGGGTGTTTTCCAGGATTTACAAGATAATAATGAGGCTCAAAAGGTGTAGAGAGCAGCCAGTATGAGTTGCCTGCCTATGAATATGCCCACAAAGTTCTACAAAAACACAGATGTCCTGCAGCAAGAAGGCAGGAGTATGGGGTTCCTAGGGAGATAGCTTATTTCACTACAATGGAATGCAACAAGGGTGGAGAACTACTTTCATCCCAAGTGCCAAGAATTCCAATCATGGGTGAGGCCTAATGTAATGGAGCAGGGACAAAACTACCAGTATGGTTTAACTGAAAGTTCTTACTGCCAGTAAGTAAGCTTTATGAGAAGCATTCCAGTTTCTTATAAGGGGAAAGAACAGCAAAAGCCAGGAAACCACCAAATGATTGTTAATTGTGGAAAAGTGGGTCGGCCTTCAAAACAGGACGTGGTGAGGCCTACACTGGGATCCTGGACTTGAGGTTCTGCATCTCTGGACCCAAATATTGGTTACACCTTCATCAACAAACAGGGCCAATGAAAAATTCAAAAATGGTGAGGGGTAAAATCCTATACATGATCAGACAGAAAAAGTCTGAAAACTGCCAGCATTTCCCAGCCAGCATAAATGGCTAGGAAATGGTGGGACTTGTAGGACTGTTTTTTATCTAAATATGCATGTTAAGATTGTGCCTTAACCCAAAACGTTCTGCAATAGCAGATATGCTGATAAGACTGTAGAGAAGAACATTGCTAAACTGATAAACTAGTTCTGGAGTTCTGACAGCATCTTGCAACCACATGGACCACTGAGCCACTAAAACTTTGTTGCAGAAGGTCCTTCTATCATAAATTTGTTCTATCAAAATACTTATCTGTTCTTCCGTCTTCACCTTTAAATATCTGAACATAATTTCCCTTATTCTCTCTATTTTCTTAGTTTTAAAATATTTAATACAATTTTAAATGGCAGCATAACTGTAGTTTCAGTATACTGGCTTTTACATAAAGTACTCTAGACCCATCAATCGGCAGTTTGGCTAGGAAAGTGACACAGTACTTCTATAAAATTACTAGTAGTAGAGCAGACTCCGATTTAAGTTGAATTCCACAAGATATAGCTTACTGGGTGATTTTCTCAGTTGTTAAACTCAAAGCATCCAGATGCATCTGAGCCAGTCTCAATCCAGGGAATGTCAAAAAAGCACCAATAAGAGAACAAAGGATAGCCAGGAAGAGTTTGAAAGTTAGTTTAGACACAGGACCCCTAATAAACAGAGAAAGCAAGAGTCAGCTTTTCTGAAATGTAAAAGACATGGCACATATTCCTATCCCACAATATAAATATTTACTAAATTATATCTGAAAATCCGCAGTAGGAATGCATCATAGCAAAAATAAAATAAATAAGAAGTCAGCTTAGATGTCAAACTGCCTTTTGTACCTCATTCCCAGTAATATTTTGTTCTCATCGCTTAAAAGGGAGAAAACCATCCCATCTCTGCTTTAGAGAAAAAGTGACCAAGCCTACGACTGGAAATAACAAAAGGGAAAGATTCCCTCGTGTACTATTCTGCCTCCCAATTGACGGCAACAATAGAAATCTGCTATCTCCAATCACAGATCAAAGGTAAGAGAAGGGATGCAGCATGTGCAAAAACAGGGATTCAGCTGGGCCCTGTGAGAAGCAGCTCCTACCAATACTAGCCAAATCCATTCAAGGGCTACTCACCATCCCCCTAGCAGCAGAAAGCACATTATGCCAGGAACTCTGCCAGTATTGGAAGGACTCACCCCAGCCCCAGATTAATTGAGTCCCTTTTTCCATACTACTACATGCCTCTCCCAGTGCAGAAGAAAGCAAAGGGGGGACAAACAGATATCTTCAGTGGGTATGGTCATGCATACTCCCATTCTACACCAGGTATGACATTCCAAATTCGAAACATGCATTCGGAAAGCATTTTGTATATAGGGTTTATTAATGGTTGCTACTGGAAAAAGAAAAGTGTTGACTAGAGTATCAGTCTGAGGTCATATTACAACAGAACCTTTAATGCACATACAATTTTCTCTAAGGAACAGTGCCTCTGTGCCCATGTTTTGAACAGGTTCAAAAGCGGTTCAAGGTGAACCAAGAACTACTGTCATGAACGGAAAGTGAAGGCTCAGCTGTGCTTGCAGACCTTGCCACACATACCCTTTGAATTAATGGATCCAAAGTCTTTAAAATAATCCAAGTTAAACAAAGGGAAAACATGAATAGTATTCTGATGGTAAAATACTATTATGCAGTTATGTTTTATACTTACTTGGACTCCAGGCCCTGTTTTTCAAAAAACTGCACAGCACTTTCTGAAAAATTTGAGAAGCCTGAAGATGTAAAAATAATAATAATTTCACAAGGTGAATGCAGAATCTCAAAATGTTAATACAGGGGTCCTGAAACTTTTCCACCAGGGGGCCAGTTGAAAGCTGCCGGTGCTGGGTGTGGGCCAGAAAAGTGGTGCTGGGAGTATGCACGGGCTGGGTCGGGGTCTGTGCGTGCGGGTGAGCTCGCTGAGGCGGGGGCGGCATGCACGGCGAGGCAAGGCGAGGCAAGGAGTGGGTGCGGGCACACGAGGCAGTGACTCGCTCGCTTGGAGATTGTTTTGTCCGAGCGAGCAAACCGTTGCCTCACGGCATGTGGGGCGAGGTGGGCGGAGGTAGGCAGGCATGTGGGTGCGTGCAGTCCAAATGGGCATGGCGAGTCAGATAAATGGGCATGGTGGCCAGATCCGGCCCTCGGGCCCTAGTTTGAGGACCCATGTGCTAACACATAACATTTTAGAAACGGCTGTCAAGTGACTAGTCCATTTTTTGTCCAACTGCTAATTAAAATGGGACGGCATACAAAAACTCCAAACAAACAAACAAACAAACAAACAACTAACTAACTAACACCAATTCTGTTATAAATGGGGCACAACTTTGGCAATATCTTTTTGTTACTTGAACCTCTTTAAGCATGGAGTTATTGTGTCCGCTCTTTAAAAGCACAATCCAAAGCTGCTCAAAGTCAACAACAAAGGCTTCACTGATCTTAATACTTCTGAATTACAACCCCAAAGCTTAGACAATTTGTAGAAGAGGTACATCAGGTCAACTGAGGGTGAAAAAAAGGTTGAAATCCATTTTTGGAAATGAATGCCAAATTTAGATATGGCTGAATGACAATACTTGCAACTGCAGATATCTGAAATTATAATTGATCTCCAGTGTATGTCTTATTCAACAAACATCTTTCTTTCATGTTTAATGGACTACACACTGTCTCTTTAATAAGAGTTTGTCTCAACTGGATTAACTGCTGGAGGTGTAATACTGCTAACGCTTTTTATCCTATGTGTTGGAATTGTCTGATGGTTTCCTCTTTTAGGGAAGAGGTTACAATATAGATATTCTTCATATTGGAACTTCCTATTTTCTTATGCATACATTAACATATGGTCAATGTAAACACATAACACTGGAAGGATAAAAACCTCCTACAGTGCAATGGACTGAGGATCTATGAACACTTTAAACTTTTAATTGGATTGCATTTAAAAGCCTTGTTGAAGTTTACATATTATGTATATAAATACATAGATGTTTTCAAATCTATGTAGTTTATTCTTTTTATGATTTTGTTGTCATAACATAATTTTTTAAAACAAAAGAGGGTAGAACTAGTTAAAATAAAAATAAATATTCAAAGGCAAGTCTTCACATTGCACACAAAGCAGTATCCAACACTGCCTATACGCAAGCAGGGTCCATCACCAGCCACACTGAATATGCAAACTCTGCCAACTTGTCACTTTTCAGAAACAAGCATTTTCATTCATTTCAGATTGCTTCAAGAAGTGCAATATCACTCTTGCATAAGGGTAACAGGGTCACTCAGAGCTCATCTCTACTGGATACTGCCCATATATCATTAAAACTGACAGAGCATTGCCCATATCCAATATGTTAAATTTTACCTGATTCGAGTCCAAATTCTAGATAGTTTTCTGTTACTATCAGAATCGCCATTGCTTTGACAAAGAAAAAGAAGCCAAAGGTTACACAGACTGATCTTTCACCACCCTCTTCTACTCTGAAGTAGTGTGTAGTTAATGAGAACAATATTTTGCTACATGAGAAGGGTTAAGGAAAAGGTGTTGTGCTGTGTTAAGAAAAATAATGATCTATATGAGATCTTCTTAACCCAAGTGACAAAATGCCAGAGGTTAGCTTGTACAGAAAACTATATTCAGGGAACCACATACCTAAGAAAAATTACACCCCTATGAAATTGTTTAAATATACCAACACACATTAAATGTAATATACTGAGTAGAATCCAAAGAATCAGACTAGTTCTATACAAAGAAAGGGACTTAGGCTTGCACTTCATGAACATCAGCTTTTTAAATAGGCAACCTTCAGAAAACACCTCTGCAATAAGCAATTCTGAAAGGTGTGTGGTTCAAGGGGCTGGGGTGTAAAAAGATAAATCCCAAACCCTATATGTATACCTAAAGTAGCTTTCCAATCCCAACTATTACACAGAAACTAATTCCATTTAAAGACGCCTATCAACAAGGACTTATTCAGAAATAGAATATAAGATCATAACCACATTTCTCTTTCATTCAAGAATTACAGTTAAGCCTTTTATATTCAATACCAAAATTATGGTAAGAGTGAAATGAAACTGTAAACTTTTACACTTCAAAATTTAATTAATTATACTCATTGAAAGAAAAATAAAAAATTAAACCATTCTATTGACTAATTAAGCATTTCAATCTTTCTTATCAGCAACTATAGAAATTAACAACTTCATTTGCAGTTGTTGAACACAGAAGTATAAATTGAGACCATGATCACACAGCCTTTTAAACTTCTATTAATCACACTAGTTTAGTTTCCAAAAGACTTTAAAATATTTTAAATTGCAAGATAAAAGGATCATCATTTTTGAACATCAACAGTGAACTTCAAAATACTGATTGTTAACCAATTAAAGCAAATGTACTTCTTCTGAAATTTGGATTTTAAACAGAAGCCATTTCTCAATAACTTCCAATAAGCACATTTATGAGCTGTGTTAGAATCCATTAACAGATTTTTACCACTGAATCTGAATTCAGATGTATGAAAACATGCCTTTCATGATCAGGCAATTCCTTGATCAGTCCATGATCTTAGTCCATAAGCCACAAAATATTCATATCACATTGGAACATTTGATTTATAAGTTTGATTTGACTGCTATAAATTCACCGATCAAATCCCTAATTTCTTTCTTGATTGTTGGATCTGACTTTTTCAGTCCTGGGAAAATCAACATCTTAGGCTGAATTTGGCCCAGCCAGAGAGCTCCTCTTATGGAAACAACAGTTCTGTTATTTTAAACTGATCTACCAAATTTTACAAGGCATACAAACAATTTAAAACATTTTAAAATAAAAATCCCAATGCCTTCTCTTAACTGAGAGCACTGCTGCTTCCTCACACACCAGCTCAACCATATTCTATCTAATAGCACTGGTGCATAACGCCCTTGCCTGGCCCACCGAGGCTCACTGGAGGGCCGCAGCCCTATTCCTTTGGCCGCCAAGAGTTAAGTAGTTTCTCAGCTTTTATGCAGTATTTCCCATGTAAAAAGCTGAAATGCATCTTCTAAGGATTTGTTATGGGCGATAAGTTAAAAATATTCTGATAGTTTTTACCCACTACTCCTTTTGCTGTTGGTCTTACCAACCACTGGAAGCTGCAGAGAACTTCAGCCCTCAGGTTGCCCTGAGGGATGATCTTTGCTGGGAGAGAGATGGGGGAGTGTGATCTCTCCTGGATCTCTCAGTGGCTTTCAATACCATGGTATCCTTCTGGATAGGCTCGCTGGGTGAGGAACTAGAGGTACCACATGGCTCTATTTTATCTCCATGCTCTTTAACATCTACATGAAACTGCTGGGGGAGGTTATCTGGAGGTATGGGATGCGGTGTCATCAATATGCAGATGACACTTAGCTCTACCTTTCTTTACCAAACCCAGGTGAGGCAGGGGCCGTTCTAAATCAGTGCCTGAACTCTGTAATGGACTGTATGTGGGTCAACCAGCTGAGACTTAATTCAGACAAGATGGAGGTGCTGTTGGTGGCTGGATCATCTGTCTAGTGGGGAGATTTTAAACCTGTCCTGGATGAGGTTCTTCCCCCAAAATACAAGGGTGCTTTTGCACCCAGAATTGTCAATGGAGTCACATGTGGACACAGTGGCTAGGATAACCTTTTATTAGCTTAGGCTGATTTAGCAACTATGTCCCTATATGGACAGGCAGACCCTGGCCAGTTATCCATGCTCTGGTAACTTATCATCTGGAACATGTTCCATGTGGAGCTGCCTTTCAAAAATGCCCAGAAACTCTACCTTATTCAGAATATGGAGGCACAGCATGGGGACTGACCCATGAGATCACATCACACCAGCCCTCTTTCAGCTGCACTGGCTTCCAGTTAAACTCTGGGCCCAATTTAACGCACTTGTTCTAAAATGTAAAGCCCTGAATGGTTGTGGACAGATTACGTGAAGGAATATCTTGTCCCATATGTTCCTATCTGACCTTGAAATCATCTGCCAAGGTTTTTCTCAGGGAACACCCTCTAAAGAACTAAGGAGTTGGCAACCAAGAGAAGAGCCTTTTCAATAGTGGCACTCCATCTCTGAAATATGCTACCCAAAGAAGTATGCCTGACGTATGCTCCCCAAAGAAGTATGCTGGTGCCTTGCCTTCTTTTCAGTGCCAGGTGAAAACCTTTTATTTTCAAGTAATTTAAAAAGCTAAGGCTTTAGTTTTAAATAGTTTTATTATCTGTTGTGGCAGTTTAAATATTGTTTTATTAGCTGCTGCTGTGCCAGGGGGTTAAATTATTGTAGTTGCTGCAGTTGTCCCGTTGTACTTTCTTATTATTTGAGTATTTTATGAATTTTATATATGATTTTTAAATTTGTAAACTTCCCAGACCCCCTATGGGCTAGGAAGCAGTACAGAATAAATATCTCAATATTTTAAAATACATGTATGCTTGTGTGTGCAGACCTGTGTGTGTTCCTTACTGGACTTCAAAACTCTGCAAAGTCTACTTTTGCTGTTGTTAATAAGTAGGGTCTTCTCCAGTTTCTTGTGGTTATATGTTTTTGTATATTTTGTTTGGTTGCCTCTTTTATTTATGTGAGTACCTACCAGGTGTAAGAGTTGATAGGATTTGTTACACTATACAAGCTGAACTAGAAAAACATTGTCATGTGCTGTGGGTAACACTGTCTTCTGAACTCAGGTTCACCCATAATAGCAGTTGCATCAGCAATATTATGAAACCATGGATTTCAATCCTTCATATTTTCTTAGCCATCTTTGTTTTTAAAGTCAATGGAGCAGCACAGGGTCAAGAAAACAAATAGAACATCTAATTAAGACCTGAGCAAAAGGAGATGCAAGTTAGTGGTGGAATTCTTAAATAGAGAACTCATTACATATGAGATGTGTATGGATGTCAACACTGCCTTATTTTGAAGTTCTTGTTTTGTTAGTGCAATTCCAGTACTTCAGAAGAATGCTAGTAATTTAGGACAGTCTAAATGAGCAATCAGAAATTTGACTTTTTCCCCTCATTCTGTAGCCTAAGATCTGCAGTTAAGATTTTTCCTATATCTACTCCTTAACAGTAAAGCCTGCAGATAAGCAGAGATAAGCACATGCTCAGATCTTTTCACAAAGAGCTATATAGAGAGAGCTGCTGGTAGTACTCTTCTACAATAGCAGATTGGATGTTTCTTTTAGTGAATTTCATTCAGAACTTAGACGTTTTACTGCATGCTATCCTATACAGGCAACTGTAGCCAGAAACTCTAATGTTACTGCTGTTAAATTATTTAGTGCATATTTATATTTGGCTTCTAATGGGGAATAAAGCAAAACTGCAAATCCTAGTCTAGCATACCATAATTTGGTATTTCATAACATTCCTTTTGCAAGAATTACAAAGCAAGTTACAGGCTAAAATTTAAAAGCCATGCCATTGACAGAGATATAGTTCATAAATGGGCAGTTTAACAATGTACTATTGTTTAGTTAACTTGTTCTAACAAAATAAGTATATTTGAAACAAGTATCAGCATCCTTCAGAAACTCTGGGATAATCTTAACCTCTAAGACAATAAAACTGGTTTTATTCAAATAGGAGAGCACCCAAATGTTATCAAAATCACCATCACCAAAACTGGGCTGACTAATATATTCAAAAAAGGGATATTTCCTCAGTCTTATTATAAATCTTCACTGGTATGAGCAGATACCAATCTGAGGAAGGATGTTCCTTAGGGAAGCCCTAAAATAGGCAACACACTTCTGAAAGCCAAAATTATCTAGAAGAAAATGGGGGTGGAGCAGGTGGAAAGGAACTAACTTGGACAAAGTAGTACATTGTCTCAACATGTAGCATTCAATCTATTTGTTACATCTCTTCAAAAACAAGCAGTTCAGACAAGGTAGACCATTGCCCAGACCAGCAAGCAAAGCCAGTTTAGTGTTACTCCACAGAACTGTGGGTGCTTACTGATGTTCAATTTGATTTTGGAGAAAGCAGTGTTGTAATAAATGAGGCATGGTTCAGGGATAACTGTTACTGTAATAGTTTCTATGCTCCAATTTAAAACAGCAGACATTTCATACGAGTTACACAAAACATTAGATCATCTTCAGAGGTGCTGAGCAGAATGACCAGGGCACCACAGAAGGATACATTGCAAAAGCCAGAACAAGCAGACACCAGACTATGCTGATATTCATTTCTTGGGAGGGCTTCATCCAGCTGTAGTAGGCTTCAGTTACCAAATACACCACTGTAGCTGCAACAGTGAAGTCCACCAGCCATTGATATTCAGGAAAATAATGCAAGGCTGAAAAATAAAATAGCTGCTCAATAACTGCAATATTTAGCACAAAACAATTTTTAAAAAATCACATCTGCAGCCATGGTCTCTAGGCAGTCAAAGAGACCCAGGACATTCCTACAGGAACTGCAGTTAACTTTTTTTTTAACATACAGCCACTTAGGATGACATATAAGCACATGTAACCCAAAAGAAAATATAATCACCCAAAATAAGCACTCTTGAAAGACAAATCACACAATAATACAACTAAGATCTCTAGCTCTGACAAACACAACACACTAGCTAAACCATGAAGTTTCTAGCAAGGAGAATGTCACCCTTCCATACTATTCAAATGAATTCACATGACGATAGAAACTGCTTTATAAGTTTATAAGTTGGTTAGACCAGTGGTATAGCTTTTCTTGGACTAATCTTATTCTCAGTGGTGCACCAGGATCTTGAAAAGAAGTCTTTCACTGCTCTGTTTCAGAGAACATTTAACTGAAGAAATGGGAGACTGAACCTTGATCTTACAGCTGCAAAGCACACACTCCATCACAGAGCCATGGTCTTTCCTTATAATATCTTAACTGCATTATTAACTCTCAGAATCAAACATTTGCAGCACTTAAAAGTAAGAAAAGTTCACTGAACAGAAGGAAGTTGAAATGCTTGCCCTTTTTTATCAGCCTACAAATACAATAAAAGGTGTGAAGTAAGCTATTTAATATTTAAATGCTACTGAGGGCAAAGAGAAAAATATTCATTAAATTTCCAGCTGCTGTTGCTAATCATTGGTTACTATAACCAACACAAGGTTGGAGAAACTCAGCACCTACTTTGAACTAACTGTGCAGAATGCTATTAAATAGAGTATTTTGAAAACCCTGGTTTGATGTAATCAAACCAGGATAGTTTGTGTGGCTTCATTTTACTTTTCTCTTTGACACCTTTCTGAAAATTATGTCATTCAAGACCAGTACACTTACTTTATCCCAGATCTATTTCCTCTGTCATAAAAAGTTCTAAAAAAACAACTCTAGGTACTAGCATTAATAATAGTTCTGGCTTTGAAGAAAATTAAAGTATTCCTTTTAGGTAGTCTTTAAGAGTGCTCTCATAATCACCATACATTTAGGAGAAAGAATACACAACTCCGTGCAGATTATTTTGGTCAAGTTCCCTTACCTAATGCATCTATTTCAGTAATAGATTTTGTTTCCAAGTGAAGATCAATGTCTTTAGGAATGGTTAATGGTTTGCTTTCAATATGGCCATTGTATTTCCTGTAGAGACACATACAAATTAAAAATCATACCAATATCAACTCATTTCTTCTCTTTCCTGTGCTATGAAAGCCATTGCAGCAATCAAGTTATCAATTCAAAATGGATTTAAATGTAAAATACCGTATTTTTCGCTCTATAAGACACACTTTTTCCTCCCTCAAAAGTAAGGGGAAATGTCTGTGCATCTTATAGAGCAAATGTGTGTGTGCCTGACGCCAGGGACACTGCAGGCCCGCCTGCACCACGTGGCACCACCTGGCCGGCACGCACTCGGCGCGCGCTGCTCCGCCCCCCCCCCCCAGCGCAGGTGAGAGCTGTGCCACTCAGGGGGAGCGGTGCAGAGGAGGAGGAGCCACGGGTTTTAACCCGTCGGCCACACGGAGAGACATACTGCTCACCCCCACTGCCCGGGAAGACCTGCCACGGAGGAGGGGGAGCCGCAGGCTTTAACCCGCCGGCCACCTGGAGAGACGGACTGCTCACCCCCACCGCCCGGGAAGACCTGGCGCGGAGGAGGAGCAGCCGTGGGCTTTAACCCGCCGGCCGCCTGGAGAGACGGACTGCTCACCCTCACCGCCCGGGAAGACCTGGCGCGGAGGAGGAGGAGCTGCGGGCTTTAACCTGCCAGCCGCATGGAGAGACGGACTGCTTACCCCCACCGCCCGGGAAGACCTGCTGCCGCCGCAGCTGACGCCGCCTGGAAGACCACCACCGGCACATTGCCGGCCCGGCTGCACCACACTTGGCCGGCACGTGCTCGGCGCGCCCTGCTCCACCCCCCTCCTCCAGCGCAGGTGAGAGCTGTTAATCACAGGTCGGTGTGTGTTTTCAAATGGCAACCCGTCTTTTACTGAAGCCCATGGGGAAGTGATGGAGAATGTGCCTGTGATTATCAGGAAGCTTTCCATGGATCCCTCCTCTAAAAACTAGGTGTCTTATGGTCAGGTGCGTCTTATAGAGCGAAAAATACGGTATACAAACCACAAAAAATTACTGAGTAAAAATACTGGGGGACTTACACATGCCCTGCAACCCTTCCCCAAACATGATCTTACTTATCATAGTGCTAACAATGAACAGAGAATGGCATGAAGATACACTGATCAGATTCACAAACATGACAGTTCATCAGTCATGGTAGGTTGATGTGTCCTTTGAGACTGGCACAGTCTCTGCAGCATGGTTTATATTAAAAAATAAAATAAAATAAACCATCCTGACAATGCATGGCTTATTATAGGGTTGTTGTGTCATCTGAACCCAACAGAGTGACTTCATTGTGAGTATTCTGAAACAGCTACAGAGCTACTCTCAGCAACATCAACAAATCTCACCTGTACTCTCTCATCCACCAGTGCCAAGATATCATTTTTATGGTTCTTCCAAAGTGCTAAGTCAAAAATGTGCAATTAGGTGTCTATTTTTATTATTACTAATATGGCTGTTGGATTTCACAAAAGTACATTTATGGCTGTCTGCTACATGTAGAGTTGCCTTGTCAATTTCTTTTCTGAGGTCAAAGGAAACACTAAAGTGAAAAAAAAGATTAGAGGGAGGCAAATTTGCATACTTTGGCCAGAGACCAAATGCTAAGCTGCCAACTGAAAAGCACCAATAAAGGGAGGAAAGCAGCAAAAGTAGGTGCGCCAAAATGGGAGAAAGACAGTAATATGTTTGAGGGGGACCCCCAACTTGGTGTCCACATCAAAAGCAAAAAAGCTCCACCTGCCAGCAATGGCCTGAACTCCCAACCTCTAAGACAACTATAAAATCTATAGCATAAATGGTGAGAAGAAATGGGTGCACAGAGCTCACTGTACAAAATACAATACAAAATACAAAATCTGTCAATCAACACCTGAACTCCTCCCTTCTCTGAAGCAATGACTAAGGGACAGGCAGGCTTGTACACTGTGAGCTAATTACCACTTGCAGCAGACGAAGTACCAAGAAGCAGTTATTACAACCAAGGTTTCAGAATTGGGATGGGACTGAGCACAAAGTTATTACCTTAGTCCTCTTCTTGCAAAGTATGAGTGGAGGGTTACATTTTGCAAAGGAAGTGTACATTTTGCAAGTATCCCTAGTTTTAGGTCATTCCATTGTTAATCTATTGTGAACTCTTTTGAATATATTATGGCTAATGCCTGTATGGTAAAATCATATTTCTTTGTGTCTGTGAACTTAAGTTACAAATACATAGAACATCTATAACTTTTGGTAGTGTAAATGGTTACTGTTCAGTAGAGTCAGCTCAAACTACTGTTGTAAGTGCATATGCACACAGAACTATATAGGATCAAAAGCCTACAGAGATGAAATTCAGAAACACAGTTTGAGATGTACGAACAGTTGTCTAAACAATGCCAACTTAAATGTCATTCATTAGACAACAGAATATTTAGCAGTGCTACACAAAGCTCTTGTGAAAGAAAAAACTGGTCCACTGGACCCAAAAGGGCCTCAGATCACAGTAAACAATTGCTCTCTTCTGTTGCTTTCTAATCACATATGAATCAGGTTTGGCTGTTTTATCATTAGTGAGCATCATCATTCCATACCAGAGTACCTCATAACTATACAAACAAACCTATGTTTATAGCCTGACAACATTATGCCCAAGGCTACTGACTAAAGGCAAACCTCAACAAGATTCAGAAGTCTACACAATTAAAAAGACTTCTGAGAATGAAAGATCTCAGAGCTACACTGTGAACTATATATTTAGGCCCACTACACTTCGAGTTGCAAGGCAATTCCTCAAATGCAAGTGATTCAGTCTCTTCAAGAGATATCTGCTATGCATCTCTGAGGTGTGGTCTCTTTGCTCCTGTGCTGATACTTTCCTTTCACTGTTTCTTTCTCAATTTTAACTGTAGCAGTGCTCATGGAAAAAAGCCCTCCTGGGAATCTGACAAAACAAATAGATTCCTACCTTTCATATTACTGAGAAAACATAAGAGAAGCATAGATAGCCTATGTGAAATTTCTAGTAGGAAAGAATTTAATACATCATCCAACAACAGAACCCCTAATCATATGGGACTTAATACTACACTGTGCAACCACTTTCATACTGGATACTTGTCTCCCTTGGCTCAGGGAAGGAACAGACAGCTGTGCCAGAGAGGCAGTTAAAGCCTCCTTCGGAGAAGGAATGGTCCATCTGAAAGAGGCAGTGGTGAGACTTGTCATATGCCCTCAAGACATCTTCAACCTATGGTGACCCTATGAATGAAAGCCCTCCAAAATATCCTATCATAGCAGTTTCATTCAGCTCCTGAAGAAAACCACTCTGGACCCAGAAAATCTTAACAATTTTAGGCCAGTTGCTGGACATGGTTCCTGAATGGGTTGTAGCCAACCAGCTCCAGGTGCTCTTGGACAAGACCAATTACCTGGATCAACAGGGTCATGTTCCCCTTTTCTCTCTTCAATCATAAGTTGTCACATAGGGTGACCAAAGCTGTGTTTATGCCTGCCCTGAACCCCAACTGGAATGGATCCAGGTAACTAGTCTTATCAAAGAACACCCAAAGCTGGACCAAATGAAGACTAATAAACTTAAACTCAATATAGACAATACTGAGATACTGTTAGTAGTTGGTTCTTCTGATAAGATGGTGGGTGTTCAGTCTCTTCTGGATGGGGCTGCCCTCTAAATGAGCAAGCTTATACCTTGAAGGTCCTCCTGGACCCAGCTTTGCCATTTGAGGCTCAGATGGTCTCAGTAGCATGAAATACCTTCTACAAGCTTTGGGTGCTAACCCAGCTACACCCATATCTGGACAGAGATAATCTAGCTTCAGTAATCTGTGTTCTGGCAACCTCCAAATTGGACTACTGCGTGAAGCTCAGATTAATAGCTGAACATACAAAAAAAATTGACCCACTGGTAGTGGCTGCCTATATGCTTGCTTGCAAGCTTGATTTTAACTAATAAAGTCCTACACAGCTTGGGGTTGCAATACTTTACAAAATGTCCCTCCCAACCTCAGTTTACCCAGATTTTATGATCTACATCTAATGCCTTCCTTCCTTCAAGTTCTACCTTCAAGAGTGCTTGGAGGTTGGTAAGAAGAAGGAGAACTTGCTTAGTTGGGGCTCCTCAATTATGAATAGATCTCACTGAGACCCACCTAGCATTAACACTATTATCTTTTCAGCTGTCATCTACTCCCAGGCATTTAAACGTATATGATAGAATATGTAAGATGTTTTAACAGATCTAGTGTGTTTAATTTTCAGCAGTGTGACTGTTTTAAATTTTGTATATTGAAATTTCATGCTGTATTTTTATCCTGTATTTTACTGTATCTGTGTTTTGTATTTTGTGAATTGCTGGGAAGAACCCAGGTACTTGGCCACTGTACGATATAGAAACAAAATAAATTGTCTGAACAGGTCCCACTCCCCCCATCAAGTTTCCTGATCTCGTTCATCACAGCTGCTGAGATCAGGCCCTCCAGAAGCGTGAGATTGCAATTCCCATGACAACTGGCCATGGGAATGATAGGGGTTGCAGGTCATTTCACCCTTACTCCATTAAATGGCAATATTTAAAACATTCACTTTCTACAGAGACTGTACTGGTGAGAAGGCAAGTACCTTAGAAAAAATCTTTCCCCCTCTTCTCTGCCTTTTGCTTCCCACAATACATGTAGGTCCTTGGACCTCCCTTGAGTTTCATGTGTGTACCAATGCACAGAAGGGGCAGATGTGCCCACCACACATCCAATATCTGTTATTTAGCTATGTAGAACTACTAGCAGATAATCATCTGATTTCACAGCTGGGAAACTGAAAATGAAAATTAGTGCCTTGTCCAAATTTCTTTCTTACCGATCTTTCTTGCTTTTTCCCTTTTGTTGCTTCCCTACAAGAATTCGTAGTTCTTCTTCTGTGGGGTGCAGATACCATCGCAAACTGGAAGGTTTTGAAAAAAAAAACAAGCACCAAGAGAAATACAGATGCAAAATCATAAATTGCCAGGAAATTTCTAATATATCACACCTCCTTATATAATTTTGCATAATAGTACATAGTCCAATGCACAAGAAACAGTTTGCATTCTATCATTACTTTTGTACATTTGAAAAAGGGGGCTTACTTGATTAGAGGGGTTCACACAAGGAGCATCATAGAAACCAAGACTCAATGAATAGGGTGCAAAAATAATTTTAAATATATATATATACTGACTACATGTGCTTTTCCTGACTGGGTGGCAGGGGAGAGACACACCCACATGTTCCATTTCTTCTTCTTCAGCCTCAGCCGTCTTGTTTACCTACTGGCCTATTTTCTACATTTCTTTTCTATCAAACAACTATTGCTCCCCAAATATGCCATTCTATCTAACTCAACTGTTGAGAGTTTAAAAGCAAACACTGTTACGGGGGCATTATATTGATTTGTATAGATCGTCACTGGTAGGGAATTTGTTGTTTGGGCAGAAAGGACAAATAGCTACAGGTATCATACATGACTTATACTTTTGCTGCTAACGAGTGACACCATTTCCTTTACTCCTATGGCATTCCCTAAGGAGACCCAAGAGCACCTGTCAATGGCTGCAAGAGTCCACAGATGAACAAAAACGATACTCCTGTTTAACACTTAGGCATGCCAGTGAGACATCATCTCTTCTGCTTTTACCTTTCCTCCTTAGAGAGGTATTTGAGCAATTGCCTGAGCTGAGGAACAACTACTAAGGAGTGTGCCAAGCTACCAGAACCTTCTCTCCAAGATACCTGTCTAGTCTAGTCCAGTCCTCCAGCATATCTCAGATCTACTCTTCAATTAGACTCTTCTTAAAACAGAAATAAATTGAGGATAGGGAATACTAATCTACTAGCTGGTAAAAGCCAACCAGTTGAACATTTTACCATTTTACAGAAAGAGCAACATAAAAATGTAATAAATAAAGTCACAATGACTTTGTTCTGACTAGGTATATTTCTACCAGCAGAGTGGTACTCAAGAGATTTTCCTCACTAAAACTTAGCTCCTCTCCTGGTCTGTCTGTTGACAAGATCCACACCCCCACACCCCTGCAGGTGGAGAACACACCAAAATGGAAATTAATAACTAATCCTGAAGACTTTCAGAAACTTGTGGATAGTCCACGTATGCATGTTAAAAAAGAATTAGGGAAAAGGAGAGGGCAGGTTTGCATGACATGACAAACAATGGTGTTTTGTACTTTTATTGGTCTGTCATGTCATCCAAACCCTGTCATGGTATTACAGCATGCTACATTTGGTTTTTATAAACAGTGTACAAAAACAACAGTCTGCTCGTGGTTTCAACAATGGCTTGTTGTGGCCTTCAAACCCAGAAAACACACATCATTGTGGTACTAAGGCCAGTAAGAGCTGCTTGGCAAGAGCTGCCCAATGCCATCAATCAGCTGATTCTCACCCCTCCCATTCACAAGCAAGAGGGTTTCCCTCTGCTGCACACAAGCAGCAGAGGGAAAAGGGGAACTCTGTTGAGTGACATAGACCTCAAACAGGCTCTGCAGCCCAGAGAATTCTTCTCTCTCCCATTCACAAGGGACTTCCCTGAAGCATGCATAAAGGGGTGTACAGTCCCTTTCTGCAGCACTGCCTAGCTGATTCTCCTCCCATTTGCCTGAGCATGGATCAGACACCCCCTCAGCTACTACAGTGGCCCTCTATGGAGATGGAGGGGAGGGTGTCTGATCAGCTCCCTTGTTCTCTTTACTGCCCTTCAGGGCTTGTGCCCTGTTTGACAGCTATGGCAGCCTCAACTTGGCTTATTATTGCAACTGTCAAGGAGTGGAGCCTCATTCCTCCTTGTGGTATCTCCTGGGATACCACCTGGAGGACTGAGGAAGAAGACAGTAGGAGGGAGGTGAGTTCCCACAAGGAGTCTGATTGCAGTTTTTACCTTGATATGCCTGACAGAAAAAGCATGGAAACCATGCAGGGTACCTTGTTGTGATGTGGGAACCTGACTGAAGTGTAATGATCATGAAAGTTATTTTATAGTAACACATGGAATTTGTCACAAATAGTGTGGTTGTCATTAATGATAACTGGTTCTTGAGCCTTCGTTTCTTTAATTTCTTTAATTTTGTTTCAGCAAGTAAAATTCTTAACTACAGGGGAGTTATGCAGGGAAGATGTATTTCCATATTATTAAGAGGAATTTAGTTGGAACAGAAGTAGATTTTTCTGCCAAAAGAACACTGCACCTGTCAAGAATTACATTTGCAAACAAGATATACAATAGCATAACAAAACATTCCAAATACTACTCATCTAGATCTGAAGTTATAGCCTAATAACCTCTAGATGAACTTTTAAAAGATCTAAATCAACTATTTTTCTGAGAACCAAACTTTCCAGATCACCACAAATTACTGTAATTTGTTTTCATACCAACTCAAAAGTCTTATACAATAGGGCAATATCAACAAGGAGTCTTGTAATACCTTACAGTCTTATCAAATTTATTGAGGCATGAGCTTTATGGGCTAGAACCCACTTTGTCAGAGGTTCAATTTGTTCCTCTTATCTTACCTGCCACTACAGAGAAGCCACCGGGCAAGTGAGTAGTGAGGTATGATCTTCTGTATAATACTAGCCATCACCATGGTAACCACCAGCTGCACACCTATCACAGCCTGTGGAAAAATAAGGCAGTGTCTGTTAACATGTGGGAATGAACTTTTGTATTTGAAAGCCTACTTTCACAGCAATTTCAAAACCAACCTTTACATAAGGGCAGTTTTCTTATAGGTAAAAATGTGTGGTGGTTAGTGCTAATCTTCCCCCAAAAGAACTATGAAAGGAAATGTGGCTTCCGGGAATAAGGCAAGGTTTGAAGAAGGCTGATGGTTGTTTAGTCTTTTCATCACCCAGGTGCTACATACCCCTCATTTATATAATACATTGTATAACATCCCTTTCAAACAAGGGTGGTATACAATATAAAACCAAACATATACAAACCAATTAAAAGCACAAAGTTAAGATAATTAGCATAATACACAATTCAAACAACAATCAAGCAGAAAAATAAAAACTTAAATGCCAACATTTTGAAATATAGCACTCACCCAACAATATTTTAATACACAAAAATCATTACATTGCCTATCTGAAATCTACAATATAATGAAGTGGCTACCAGGTATCCCTCTTTGGGGTGGCCACAGCTGATGAAACTCTCATCCAAACATTACTTTGTTGCCACCCACTTAATGGTGGTGGCATTCTGAAAGAAGACTCAGTTTAAAATCTTAGTGCTCAGACAAGTTTCCTATCGGAGAAGTTGGTTATTAAGGCACACTGCTCCCAAGCTATAAAGCCCCTTAAAGAACTAAATAAGCACCCTGAATCGGTTGAAAAGTAAGCCAGCAATTAGTACAGATCTCTTTAAAGTAGTGAAATATAATCTCAATAACCCATCCCAATCAAAACCCAGTCAAACTGACCTAATTGTAGCTCCTGGACTGTCATCAAGCACAACCATAGAGAATATTATATTAGCCTATGATAAGCAGCATGCAGGCCCCATGACCCCTTGGATTCAGTTTGAAAACAACTTTAAAAATGGCATCTATTATTTGTTTATTGGATTTTTATCCCACCACATTAGCCAATAAGTACGACCAATCCCACCACCTGTTTACTTGATCCTTGCCCTTCATAGCTGATCACCAAAGTCAAGGACGGGATGTGTACCTGGGTCCAGGAAATTGTAAATGCCTATTTGAGGGAGGGGCAGGTTTCTGCCCCTTTGAAGGAGGAAGTTATTAAGCCTCTCCTAAAGAAGGTGAACCTGGACCCAGAGGTTGCCACCAACTATAGACCAGTGGCCAATATCCTGTTCTTAGGCATGGTGCTTGAGCAGATGGTGGCTGGTATACTCCAGTCACTCTTGGAGGAAACTGACCATCTGGATCCATTCCAGTCTGGCTTCAGGCTGGGTTTTGGGACCAAAATTGCCTCAATTACCTTGTACAATGACCTGTGCCAGAAAAGGGACAGGGAGAATGTGTCTGTATTGGTTCCTCGGGACCTCTCAGTGGTTTTCAGTAGCATTGACCTTTGTATCCTTCTGGATAGGCTGGCTGAGTTGGGGGTTAGAAGCACTGCTTTGCAGTGGTTCCACTAACTACTTGGGTGAGGTGGCGCTGGGGAATTACAGCTCTGTACCATGGCATTTATAACATGGAGTTTCACAGGGTTCCATTTTATCCCCCATGCAATTCAACATCTACATGAAACCACTGGGAGAGGTCATTGGGAGGCCTGGGTTGAGGTGTCACTAGTACACTGATGACACCCAACACTACCTGTCTTTTACATCCAATCCAGGTAAATCAGTGACTGTTCTGAATCAGTGTCTGGCCAGCGTGATGGTCTGGATGAGGACCAATAAATTGAGACTTAATCCAGATAGGACAGAGGTTCTGTTGGTAAGTGGTTCAGCTATCCCAGTAAATTATATCTGCCCCAATCTGGTCAGGATGCATAGTTTAGGAGTGCTCCTCGATTCAGAGCTATCGCCAGAGTTCCAGGTGACTGTTGTGACAAGGAGTGCTTTCCAACAGCTGGTCCTCCAACTAGTCCTTACCTGGATAAGCAGAGCCTAGCAACAGTGACCCAGGGTCTGGCAACTTCTTGATTGGACAATTGTAATGCACTCTACATGGGGCTATCCTGTAAGACAGTCCAGATACTTCAGTTGGTACAAAATAGCTAAGCTACTGACAAGGACCAGCAGGTGTGATCATATAATGCCAGTCCTGTACCATCTGCACTGGTTACCAACTGAAGCATGGGCCAAATTTAAGGTGTTAACTTTGACCTACAAAGCCCTAAACAGTTTAGGGCCTGGATATTTAAAGGGAGTGTCTCCTTCTGTATATACCTGTCCAAGCCTTAAGATCCTTCTCTGAGGTTCTTCTTTGGGAACCATCTTTGAAGGATGTTAGAAAAGTGACTACCTGGAGAAGGGCTTTTTCTGTGGTCCCCCTCCCCCGCCCAGTTTTGGACCCTGTTCCCCAGAGATGTATGGCTGGCATCACACTTTATTCAGTTCAGTGCCAGACCAAGATCTTTCTATTTACCCAGTATTTTAAGGTTTGATGGTATTTTAAGATAGTAGTTTTAATGTTTCATCTCTATTTTAATTGTACTTCTTTTGTTGTAAGCTGTCTTGAGACCAGCATGGTATAGACAGGATACAAGTGTTTTAAATAAATAAGGCTTCCTTAGTAGAGATATATACTCCATGACCACTACAAAGCACTTAAGGGTCAAAATTAGTATGCAAACAAGCTCAATTTGACCACTGGGGTGCTCTCCAGTCACTACAAGTGTCATTAAAAACAATTCAACACCTCTGTGTATGTGGCATATCTGGGGGAGCAAAACTGACACCCCTCCCCAGATTACTGGCCCCTGTAGTAATTTAAGCAGGTAGGTGCTAAAGTGTGGACCATCACTGCCAAGTTATCTCTGTCCAGAAAAGGTCACAGACAGCTGGTAGAAAGTGCCCTATACCACTGACCAGACCTGTGCTGGTCAGAGGGAGTGCATACTCATTCAAAATAAGATGACTATCCCTTTCTAGTGTAGGAAACTGCCTATCCATTAATGCTTCCATTTAATTAGGGTTTGTTTTTCATGTTACCAGCCCTCAGCCAGCCTAATCACAAGCTCAGACAATTATTCAGTTCTTCTACTGACCACCTAATTTAGGTGACATGGAGAGACAGATCTATCAGTAAAGCAATGACAGTTAACCTCACAATCCTGGTTGGGGCACCATGGATAAAAAACATCAAGTATCTAGCTTGTCACCTTCCCCTACATATATCCAATTGGCCCAAGATTGTTCAAGGTCTTATCGGTCACTGCATGATCAATAATGAATCATCAGGTAAAAGCACCTAAGTGAAACTTCTAGAGGTGGTGACACCCAACCTCTGAAATACTATTATATATATGGTATAAGATATGGAAAACAATTTGAAAATATGTTTGATTGCAAGCCAGGAAAAGCAAGAGTGTACAATCATGACACTTCCACTTTACTGTTTTTACTGTAATGTTTAAGGTGTGTGTTGTTTGATACTCTTTCTATTTTGTTTTTTTATATTGGATTGTATGCAATTTTGTGTAAGCGGCTTGGAGATCCTGGTCATATGGTAAAGAAGCAACTTAAATAAAGTAAGTCAAAGCTACCAGAAGGGTATACAGTGAATAGCAACAAAAATTGCATTTTCCACTTCTCTGCTAGCCTATTCCATCCATGAGGGTGTCTAAAGGTGCTTTTGTGCCCAAAGCCCAACTGAAATGGGACCAGAAAATCATTCTATAAATTTCTCCTTCAAAGTATCAAGGACTACTTCCTCTTATCAGGAGGTTAGGAGGAATTAATCAACTCCTGGACCCAGCCAGTTTTGCTCTTATTAGCTAAAAGGAGTATACACATTGTAGGTCTCACTGCTCCAAGAATTTTGCCCACATCCACAGGCTACAACAACTAAAAATCATCTCATGAAACTTGACCAGAGAGTCCTCTGGACACAGTTACTAATTGTTGCAAGTGTTTCTATACCATGGCAGATATAAGCAATTTTACCATTGAAGTGTCTTGTAAATATATTAAAGCAGAAACTGAATGGCAAAAGGCAAAACCAACACTCTTCCAACACTCTTGGAACAGGAGATTGTGCCTGACCTTACATGGAATCACATGGGATCTCAGCATCAGGCTAAGGACAAGGGAAGGAGAGAGGTCCTAGTGCCAAGCTTTGGCCCGATAAATTTGTTTGCCTTTTATCCTGCTACATTACCACCAATGTCAACCAAAAATTGAGGATGCCTGATTTTATTTCAAGTAGATCACCCTGCATGTGGCTATATCTAGGTTTCTGCATAAACAGGAATGCCTTGAAGGAAATATTTATTCATTTGTTTCATTCATATCCCATCTTACAACCAAAGAACCCAAGGCAGTGTACATGGTGGTCCTCTTCTCCAGTTTAATCTCACAACAACCCTGTGAGGTAGGCTTGGTTAAGAGGTAGTGACCAACCTGGAGTGAACAAATTGAATTTCATGGGGAATCTAGAACCCAGCTTTCCCAAATCCCAGCTGAACATTCTAACCACTACATCAAATTGGCTCTTTGACAGAGGAATCCTGTGGTGCCTAGACAGCATCTGGTGGGCCATGAGATACTTCAGATGCCCAGATCCAAAGTTGGAGCAGTGTTCCAACCTCAGACATGGAAATGGGATCCGTGCCCACTCCCCCTCATAGTGAACTGTGCCAGATATTTCTCAGAGGACAGTACCACAATTTAGAAGGGTGGGGAATGGTAAATTCAAAAAACATGAACACTGGCCTAGAGGCTGTCTGTGGCTTTACTATTAGTATAACATATAAAAGTTAGCAATTCGTATTTTCCAAATTATTGCTGAGCAAACAGACCATACATTATATCCAATGTTAATCCTGCTCTGAGTAGAGCAGCCAAAATTAATGGGACCTTCATTTCAATTACAAGTAGTGTAACTTTTTTATTTCTTTTCCTGCCTTTTTGTATTCTCTTTTAATGTAACTATTTCTGCTACCCCAAAAACAAAACTTTCAAATTCTAAAA